GTATGTAAAAGTCTTCTTGCCCCGTGAAGGGCAGGAAGAATGATGTATGTGCATGGCGTACAGACACCCTTATTTATCTGCTTAAATCCAAAGTGATGCTGAGCGTCTCATGCCGTAGACCTGCGTGGTGTTTGAAAGGATTATTCACTTCCGCGTCTTCTCACGGGAAGCAAAATACTTCATTCCCTGCAATGTAATACCCCAGGCAGAGGTACAGTAGTTTGTATCCTGTGGCAAAGGAGGTGGCCTTGGACTTTGGGTGGCCTGGCAGTGCCCAGGTTAGGGGGCAGCAGACTGGAGTATAACTGAGACTGTGGTAGATGCTGCTCTTTTGCTTTCGGTCTGTGTTTGAATTTGAATGCGATATCCAAACCTCCAGTGTTGTTCATGCATTGTGTGGCTGTTCTGTCTCTGAAACACCTGCTTCTGTGACACTGATTCAAAACCGCAATACCGTGGGCAGTGTCTGTGAGTGTTCCTGAAGGATCCAAGCGACATAGTTGTCCGGATAAGTCAATTACAGCTTAAACACCAGTCACAGGCCAGGGCTACTTGTTAAAATCGTCTTGCGTTGCAGGATCCATGAGAATGCAGTCTGCCGCAGGGCTGTCCAGCCCTGGTATTGAAGGGTCGTGCATCTGCAGGTTTTCATTCCAAATGAGCACGTTATTGGCTTAACTGGACCCAATTTAACAGCTTCTCCTGGCTCTTCAGAACTGAAGTGAGGCTCCTTTAAAGATCCCTAAATAACCTGCACATACACAAGCCCTTCCAGGAACAGGATTTGATATCTCTGGCTGATAGTCACGCAGTAATCATTTATCATAAGACTAGCAAGCGTTGTTCATGAGGTGTGTGTGAGAAAAATGTGGCATCTTGTTCTTTGGTGCCGTAACACTGTGTGCTTTATTGGAATCACTGATCATTTTGCAAGGCAGTGATTCACAGTACTGCAGTTTTCGTATGACAGAGGACTGTCTGAAAGGGTTTCCTGTGGGATTCTCAACACCGTAAAGTGTGACTGGTTGTAGCCACTGCAGTCAACTCCTTTCGCAGTAAACAGCATCTCTTAAAATAATCTTGAGCGCTTGTGAGCAACAGTTTCAAGTGTCACGATTGGCAGCTTCAGCAGCTGTGAAGGAAGCGCTTGACTCTGTGAATAAACCTCATGTCCCCTAACAGCATGCAAGAGAAATGTCACAAAGGAGGAAGCAGATTTATAATAGATTTCTAGAGAGCATGATTTACAACTGTAGTTTGTGCGCCGAGGAGTCAGTTCTGTTGCTTTCCCATGCATTGGCATGTTTAAAAGTCTTGTTCCACACCCCCGCCCATCCGAACATGTCCATATCTCAGCTTGGCGCGGCCTCAGAGGGGCGAGGGACTGGTCACTCTCTGTACCCCTAATTTATCACAGGACACGGACTGCTCCAGTCACTCATGAACACACCCTCCCTCGTATCGCATGGCGCTGTCTTTCATGAACAGTCCTTTCCAAGCAAGTAAAACATAACCGTGGGCCACGTTGTAAACGAGGACAGGGTAAATGACATTCAGATGAAAGTGGGCGGGCGAGAGGAGGCAGTTTGGCCCATCTTGATCGTTTTGTTACCATTAGCTTATTGACCTGAACTGTTGCCCTGGTTGTTTTCAACAAGCGGCCGGTCATCGGCTTTAACAACATGACAAGGCAGCTTGCCCCTGCCACCCACCACCCTTTTTGTAAAGATGTGTGTCTTGAGTAGAAAGTCTTCTCTGCTCCAGACCAAGACTTTAAGGGTGGGCACACAGGCACACAGAGAAGAGAGCTCAGAAATGATTCACAGACAGACCTAAACTAAACACGAGGCTGTTAAAACGCTTACCAGAGCATTGAAACACAGCAGAGTGAAAAGGCACTGGAGGATCAGAGCAGCTGTGCTCACAGCAGGAGCCCTGACCAGGTGTGAGCGCTCCGTGAGGAACAGGGCTCTGTCACGGGATGAGTCTGTGAGCTCTGAGGCCAGTCACAGCCAGCTGCACGTCTCTGGAAGACTGTCATGCAGTGATTACTGCCTTGTGCAATTAAACTGAATTTTCCCTTTTGTTGGGAGAATGGTGTCAGTTAAGGCGCTTTTTGCTCTTGTGCACGGGAGGCAGCTGTGGGGTTTTGTGCAGGAAGAAGCCCGTGCCCTCGTGCTTGTCAGTAGAGGAGAGATTTCTTCCCCCAGATGTCCGCGTCCAGGTGCAGTTTGTTGCCATTCTTTGCTACAGAACTGTGTGTAATTTAAATAATCGTTTTCATTTGCTTAAAGAAGGAAGGCTGTGTTTCGGCTGTGGAGCCTTCTTCAGGTGTGAGGGAGAGAAGGGGAAGGAGCAAATAAATAAGGCAAAAGAGCACAGCAGACAGAATAGGTACGAAGGGGGACCAGGGGCAAACAGGATACCCGCCAATTAAAACCAAGCCCCAGTCTGGCATTGCTTTTCTGCTTGCTGTCATTGAAAGGTCATCAAACTCCATGCTGCCTTGTTTCTCGTCAGTGCCGAGACCAGGCTGCGGCTGTCTGGGCAGTCCCAGTAACCGCCGGCTTACTGCCAGCTCTGCAGCCAGAATCGACTGGAGTCCCACGGGCTTCCTGCTGGAGCTGCCTGTTCTGCCAGCAGTGCGAGAGTCAGCATGGGCCAGGAGCTGGCCTGCCAGAGCCAGATAAGACCTCACACTCTCTCTCTCTGCAGAGCTGCTGCTCCTCCCTGCACAGCAGTGCCTACAGAGATCCCAGCCTGCATCTGTGTCCCCCCTTGTCTCCCTTCCCCCGGCGCCCCAGTTCAGCTCATGGGGCATCACTGGCATGACTGATGAGTTGATGCGTCTTCTGTCTCCTTCCCTCTCTTGGCTGAAGTCCCCCGGCCTCCTGTGGGCGGCTGCCGGAGGACGCTGGCGGTCAACCTGTGCTCCGTGCGTGCTGTCTGGGCCCGACGCAGAGAGAGCAGCCGCGGGCAGACGGCGATGCTCTGAGGGCAGGGTCTCGGCACGGGCCAGCCCCCCCGCCTGCGCCTCTCCCTCCCCCTCCCCTCGGAGAGCCAACTCCTCCACGGGTTATTACCCAGCCTCCTCGGCTGGAACGGGGGAGCTTGCGCGCTCACTGCTACAGTGCCGATCACTTCTGGAAGAAATGCAAATGTTAGCAACGTACTGGAGCAATAGAATGGGAAAATTTCACCTCCTCCCCGCCCGACCTCTCCCATCTTGTTCGAAATTGCTTCGCGCCGAGACTTGGAGACGCCAGCTGAGGGAGGGGGAAGATGGGGGAAAATGGAAGCTGCAAGCAATGCCCATCCTGTACCGCTGTGCTTTAAGGCTCGAATGCTTGTATACAACCCTGAGTTGTGCACAGGAAGAGATGAGTCATTCATGCGTCTCCCTAGCGTGAATCTTTAATTACAGAAGTTTTCTCAACCGGTTAGCAGAGGTCAAACGGGTTACAGCCGCCACGGAAATGACTGTAAGATCCACTAGGCACGGAATAAACACCACAAACTGTTTAAATGTGACACCGAACAATGCCTTATTGAGCAATAAAAATGAAAGACCTTGCGTCGTTTACAATTCAAACAACCCGAGGCAGCTCTGATGTCCATGAAAGGCACCGGATGCTCTCTGATGAGATGGAGGTAGAGGGGTTTATTGAGATACGTGCATCTACGTTGGAATTCTTATTTGCACAGATCTCTCAGGCCATGCACAGCACAGCAGACAGCACCTCGCAGTGTAGGCAGTACATAACAGAATGATGCAATGATAATAAATAGGAATGCCCAGAACAGTAAATACTTTGTAGAGAGCTGTAAATATGTCGTAGTGGGGAAAAAAGGAGCCGAAGTCAGAAGTGCGTAGTGCAGAGGTGGAGTTCTGAGGCAGCGCTGGTGAGGTTCCCCTCTGATGGGGAACAGTAAGGCCGTGAAGGTGAAGCAGGGTGTGGGAGCTATCAGCTGGAGATTCATTCAGACTGACGCAAGAGGCTTGCAGTTGAGGCACAGGGGTGCCTTTGGCATTTGTGTCTCAGAAAGGTCTGCTTTGGTGTGTGTTGTGCCTGCTTTGCTCCTCTATTTAGACAGCAGTTCATTTGCATTTGTTTAATTAGCCCTCTGACTGACTGGTGCAGTAAGACCCTCTTAGCATACAGCCCCTTGGGGTGCTGTAGGGAGATGCCCAGAATAAATCTCCTGCAGATTTGGCCACCTTCCACTGTACAGCAGCGCTGCTGCTACACTGGGCTCTCCAGTCTTGGTCTGGGGGTTCAAGGCGGCACACAGCATGCAGGCCAATAGAGGCGAAGGGGCGAGGATCTGCAGTGTCGTAGGCTATTGGATTTGGACATGGCTCTGGGGAGAAAGGAGCATCAGGAGATCTGAATGTACAGAAGATCTAATGTGTTACTGCGCAGAGACCCGCTGCAGCCCAGTGGTTCTGTGTTACTGCCGTTTGCTGTGTTCTGTAAGTTTCAAAGAGGAAAGGTGTTCCCCTACCCTACACACACTGCCTGCAGTGTCAGGTCTTTTTCTCATCCAGGACTAAGGGAGTCAGTTTTCTGACCCATGTGAAGGAACATCACATACCGAGGCTGTGTGACTGCAGGAGGTCTGCAGGCTTGGGGGCTGTGCGTTGTGCCTTTTTGGAATAAAGCTGTCAGTGCTCTTCGGACCTCCCCAGGTCTGTGCATGGCTGTGTCCTGACTCTCAGCTCTCGTGTCTCAGCAGCTTGAGGCCCTGCGCAATGATGCTGATCCCTGCCTCTCCGCCTGCAGCCAGGCTAATGAGCGCTGCTCTGCAGCACTGCAGCCCCCTGTCTCTCTGCAAGGCTGTGCGTGGTGCTCACATGGCGAGTGCTGGACTGCGTGGCTCCCAGATTCCTGTGCCTCTGTGCACATTTGAGCCCTGCCCGATACCGCACTTGTCTGTGGGCGGTTTAGCGGCAGTTCTGATGTGGCTGAAATGAATCCTCTCTGCATCGCTTCAGGGCAGGCACAAACTGAACCCGTCACCTGCTTCCCCTGCTTGTAAAATACCCTGTTTATTTCAGCGCTCTGTATGTTTCCAAGCTTGTGCTTTTCACCCCCAGAGGATTTCAAACCTCTTTCAATATAGAGGATTTTGTTTTTTTACAGTTGTCAAAGCTGAACTATGTGATCCAGAAATATTTGTGCAGGAGGATGGTTAATCATACAGTTGAGAAGCCCTTTGCATGACTTACAAATCAAATATTTTGATCCCTCCTCCCCCTCCCCCCCCCACCATGTGGCTGAACATATCAGACCACACACAGCTACAGCGGAGGTCACAGGTTCTGTCCTGCAAACGAAGAGCTAAAGAATCGCCCTGACTGCCAGAGCTACTGCTTTAACTTGGCAAGTGGAGCTATTGAGCCCCACTGTTCAACTGGCCTGTCATGCCAAGTGCAGTTATCTTCACTGGAGCTGATGGTCAGCAGACCTTATTAGGTAGAGCAGGTTAGCTTGTGGTTCATATGCTACAAAACCATGCTGGTATACAATAAGACTACAGTACTCAGCATCCATCCACAGCACATCTCTCACAAACCCGTTTATATCCAGTCGTGAAGCTTGGATAACTTTGTTCTGTTTTTTGGACTCTGGGTACGCATGCCATTATGTGCACTGCAGTGCTGCCTTTGGCATGATCCACCGAAACCCAGCCAGGTCTCCTTTCCTGTGCCACGAGTTTTAAGAAGAATAGTTATTAGCTACAAAGGAACAAGTACAGCTTAATTCTGCTCTGAAAACTGGATCGGACTTCAACAACATTTCGGCTGTGGAGCCTTCTTCAGGCTCAGCCCTTGTAGAAGGCTTAGCAGCTGAAAACTTGTATCTTTCCTTTATTTCTCACTGTGGAGTCAACATTGGCTCATTCCTGTGCAGTCGATGCATGCTCTAGCAGATCCCCACTCGAGTGTTGTAGTCATTACCTGCTATTGCTACTGGTGATGAGAAACTGTTCAGTGTTGCCCAGCTGGCTGTTTAGATCAAGTTTTTTAAATGCTTGGTGCATCGGTCTGGTCCCGGAGTCTGCTCATGTAGAAGGGAGATACGTGATAGGTAAGAAACATAGGAAGGCAGATGGATTGCAATTGCAAAAGGAAGATGGTTGCAGTTAAAAACACAGTATGGGTCTGTTTCAAAGGGAGGTTTCTAGGAGGTGTTTGGTGTGGGGTGACCGGACTTCTCCAGCCCCGCCCTGCTCGGTCGGATGGCTCCTGTGTCCCACGCACAGCGGGCGGGCTCCAAGGGCGGGTGACGTCACCAGGCTGCCGGGGTATACGAGGAAACGTCAGGGAGCAGGAGGGCTTAGCGACTTTTTAGTCCTATTGATCTGATTAGCCCAGACTTCTTTATCCTGGTTCAAACGTGGATAAACCCCCAAGGATTACAGAGGACGGAGCGGAGCAGCCCTCAGTCGCTGGGCCCTAACGTGGCCCTGAGCCGTGTGGATTGAGGGGTGTCAGCTCCGTGGATCGCGGGGCGCAGTGAAGTGGGCCGGGCCGGGCCAGAGCCAGTCCTGCCTCTGAGAGGGCTGAAGGGATGTCCTAGTGAGACCCCCAGTGTAGGTAACAATCTGTATTAACTTTACAAACACTAAGAATTCATGTTGCATCTCCAGTTAGTGATCCAGAAAGAAAGTCTCTGATGTGGTCAGCGCAGTTGAGCCCCAATCTAGTTTTGCCCTTTTATACCAGGGGTGTCCAGTCCTGGCCACTGGAGGGACACTGTCTCTGCAGCACCTGAAGAGCTAAACTGGTCCAGTACCCAGCTACCCTCCTGGGCTGGGATCTGACTTCCTGCGTAAGGTGCCCTTTTGACTACGAGAATCATCTCTGATCACTGTACAGAATAAAGTCAGGTGAAAAACAACAATGAACTAACCGACCAGTGAAAGCCTAAAAGTATAACCAGAACAGCAATCCCGTAGAGTAACATTATATTAAAAATAAATGAATAAAATAAGGTGAGTGCAGTTTATATAAGGGCTCATAGTCCTGGAATAAGCACTCAATGTAATGCATTTTAAATGTCAAGTATTGTCATGTAAACATGAGAAAGGTTACGGATGAAGTATGTTGTTGGATTATTCTGGCTCGTTTGGTTGCCATGGGCTCATTGATCTAAGGATCTCATCCGTTTGTTTCTTACGTATGTTGTCTGTGTTTCTGTTACCAGTTTGTATCTTTCTGCCTTGCAAACGATTTCAGCCCCTAGAAATAAGGGAAAATTTTGCTGAATTACAATGTATCCATTTTTTTTTATTTGCCTGGAGCAAAGATTTGCCTGCCACACGGTTTGGAGAGGATAAGTTTTAATTTGGCTTCCTGGTAGCGTATGAGGGGACAGGGAGGGTGGGGGCAGAGTGTCAGCCTGGTCCACTCAGCGGGGCTCCCTCTGCCCTGGGGGCGAGGATGTCTGGATACAGAGATAATG